AATTAATTATTGATTATCTGAGGCACTCATTAATAATAATAATAATAAAAGGGAAATAAATCCGGTCGCCGTGTATTACCTGTAAGGCATGCCGCAATTATTACCAAAGGGTAATTTCAAAAGGATTTTAAAAAAAAACCGCGTTGGAAATCGCGTTAAACCTAGAACCGACTATTGAAATTTAAGAAAAAAAATTTAATAAATAATGCCGCCGACGTTAAAGTAAAAAAGAAAATCGGTTAAAATCATTGAGTGAATGCTGACGAGACAAAATCCGACAAGTAAATGAAATTTTCCGCGATTAAAAGTGAAAATAATAATAATAATTTCACTTTTGAATTGCTATTGATTCCATTTTGAAAAGTTTCAAAAAATTTTTTGCTCCGAATCCTTTTTATATAAAAAAAAAAAAAATTTATTATTTTGTAGAAAATTTTAACCGAATTTTGTTTTTCAAAAAGTAAAATACTTTATGGAAAAAAAAAACTTTTCTTTTGTGTCAGGTACTCGAACGTATGGCGTCCTGAGGGAACGATCAACAAATAATAAATATTAACTCCTTTTTAATAAAAATAAAAAAAAAAAATATGAAAAACGCAAACCTCTCCGGAGACCTCATCGCTCATATATAACAAAACGTTTTTAAAAATTTTACAATTGAACAAAAAAAAAAAAAAAAAATTTTTTTTTTTTAAAGAAATCGTTTAGAAAAAGATATTCAAAGAAAATTGTTTTTTTTTTTTTTTTTTTGGTGAGACGGAAAATAAAACCGGAAATTTAACGACTAAGAAGCGTTTAGCGGGATCGGAGCAGATTACAAGCCAGGCCCGAATGGTTCGAGTAAATTATTGAGCATTCGTGAAACATTTAATTTAGTTAATATTAGAAAAGCAATCATTAAATAAAGTACTTATGCGCTCTTGGTTATTTAACCATAGTGTGCGAGAAAGAAATACTCAATATATATGGGAGTGGGTGAAATCCATGTAAATTTCGATACCCGATGATAATGATGATGATGATGATGACGAACACAACGACAGTTACCTGCCAAATATTTATTTATTTTTTTTATATCCTTATAGACGAGTTAAAAAAAAAAGGAAAAGTTGATAAGAATGTTATGGGAAATGGGATTTTAATTAGTTTTCGGTTTAAATCTCATTAATCCGCGCATATTATTATTATTATTATTTTTCCATTTTGCGCGACAGGTTTTACCTTCATGATTCTCCCTAAATCTAGTTAGTTATTTTTTAATAATTATTTTTTTTAAAAATTAATTAAAAAATTCTATTTATTCCAATCGTAATGAGAGACATTTTTTTTTATTAAATATAATTTTCATTAGGTCATGTCAAGTAATGTCATGAAAGGTCACAACAAAATTTTTTTTTTTCAATTTTCGGTTTGAACTACATTGGAAAAAAGTTTTTTTTTTTTTTTTTTTTTTTTTGAATTTGTCGTGGTAATAATTGGGTTGTAAACAATATATCCGCGTCTTATTTTTTTTTTTTAATAATTCTCTGAGAAGTTTTACTTACACCGATACGTAAATAATAATAACGATGATGATGATGATGATGATGATGTTACCTAAATTAAAAAATTAAATGAAACAAATTTGATTTGGAAAATGGATACGTCGTCACACGAACACACGCAAAACTTTTTTTTTTTTTTTTACCTAAAATTTCATTTCAAACGTAAATTATTAATATTATTATTATTATTATATTTATTACGACGATAATTTATTGTTTGGTGGTGTGTGTTATCGGGTTTTTTTAATAAATTACAAAAATATTTTTTTATTTATTATTATTTCATTTCGAGTTATCACGTGGTGGTGGTGGTGGTGAATGTAGAGACTAACAAAAAAAAAAAAAAAAAGGAAAATAATAATAAATGTTATAACAATTTGGTGGTGGGTTAAATACGAAATGTTTTTCCGGTAGAAACTCGGATAGATATTTTTTTTTTTATTTTTTTCACAAGCTGGGCGGTCTCTTTTTGGCCACTTTCGAACAATATAACGGACAATGATACAATGGCAATAACAAGATCAACAAAAATACCGACAGAATGAGTGAACCATATAAGAATACCTATCTTAAAAAGAAATCAACAATTGTATATAGGATTTTTTAAAGGCGTGCTTTGTTAAAACTCAAACGAATAACTTCTTCCGCCTAAATGACTTTTGTCAAAAGACTATTTTGGTGCTTTACGTGTGTTATTTATAAAAAAATAAAAATTCAAAGGTAGAAAAAAAATAAAACGTGAATTTTTACGCATTGTACCTGAGATTGTGAGTCTGTTAGAACAAGGTGGTCGTTAAATATATATACACACTTTGTCTTCGGACGATATTTTTTTCTTACCTTTTTTTTTTTTTTAACGAATACATATTCTTGAAGAAGAAAAAATGTTTAAACTTTAGAGGAAAATTGTATTTTTATTTTATTATAAGTAATTAAAACTGTAGATAAACAAATTTTCCAAGAGGATGATGAATTTTTACGAGAGAGAAAAAAAATCTCACGAAAAGCGTTTGAAAAAAAAAAAGGTAAAACGGTCGTTTCGACGAGCTCGGCCGAGAAAATAATACCGAAAAAAAAAAAAAAAAACTCGTGTAGCCTGCGGGTGGCCTTTCAGGCTCCACGTTGTACCAAGGAAAGAGATGAGATAGGGTGAGAAAGAGAAGGCGGGATGTATATGTCATAGACCATTCATATTTGAACACAATGCTTTGACTTTCGTAAACCGCATTTCAATATGTCACGGACCACCGCAGTTATTCTGTCGACAGACCGTCATAGTGCCTTCAAAAGAATCAGACCAAAATACCATCGGCTTCTTTTGGCTTGATTTATTAATGAACTCGGTACCTTGTAAGATGAGAGAGGTTAAGTGAGTTTTGAACCGTAAATTTGCTTCAATAAATTTTTGCCGTTCAAATCAATAAATTCATTCACACACACACACACACACTCCGATCGATCTAAAAGTCAAAAAATTTTCAAATTCTAATTTCAATTTCTTTTCTTCTCTATCTCTGATACATTATTATTATTATAAAATAAAATTTCAATCGATTAATATGTATATACACCATCGTATTGAACGTATAGAACAAAAAAAAAACCGAAATGAATGATGGATAAAGGATTAAAAAAAAAAAAAAAAAAAATGGACAATAAAAAAAAAATAATGTTAGGTTGTTTTGGGTTATTACAAAATTTTACTACAAATAAAAATTTGTGCCATATAATTTTACGTTCGAATCGAATTAATTACTATTGTGAAAAACAAGTTGAACTAAAGGAAATTTGTTGTTGTTGTTGTTGTGGTGGTGGTGGTGGTAGTTGTGCGAATTCTGTTTTACTCAGGCGCGTATCATTATGGGTATATTATAATTTGCCTTTTTATTTTTTAATTTTTTAAAATTGCAATTAATATATACATATATGTGTAAAAAAAAAGAAGAAGAAAATTCGGTTTTAATAATAATAATAATTTAATAAGAAAATGAAATTTTTTTCGTTTTTTGTATTTGAGCAAAAGGGAGAAAGCGAGATGGGGAGAGAGAGAGAGAGAGAGAGAGAGAGAGAGAGAGAGAGAGAGAGAGAGAGAGAGAGAGAGAGCGAGTGAGAGTTCACGGCAGGGAGAATGTTAAAAAAAAATCTCTTCTTTCTTTAATGAATATTAATTAATGAATCCCAAACACGGCCCAGAAAAAAAAAAAAAATAATTTTTTATTTTCTGATTTATTCTTTAAATCATGAGAATTGAAAATCAGGTTTGTTAAAGAGTATCCCACAGAGCGAAAAAACAGTCTCATTTATCTTACGGAGACCACACACTGAGGAGATAAGAAACGATTTTTATCAGCACATTTAATATTGTTAATTACATTTATTATAAAAAATACTATCACTGACAAATGCAATGTAAACATTCAAATCCACCTTTTTTTTTTTTTTCTCTTTACCAATACATACATAACAAAAGGAATTTTCCTTTTTTAAAAATTAATTTCTCAGATTTTTCTTTCACCATCAATTTCGAATCTCTATTACATACTGATGATATTTTATTTTTAATAAAATTTTAAATTATTTATTTGAATGTTTCGAAAAGGATTCTTTTTAAATTTATTTTCGCAACTAAATAATCGTCGTTTCCAATTATTTTAAATAATTTTATATTTTCAGGTAATGAAAAAAAATTCTCATTCGTTTTTTTTTTTTTTTTTTTTTGATTTGTAAAATATAATTTATTTCATAAAATAATGGATTAAATTATAAAAAAAAAAATTATTATTATTATTTTTTTTTTAATAATTTCAATATTGCAACCAAAAATGTGGCCTTCGTCTTGGAGATGAGGACTGTACTTTTTGATGAGTTCGTCCTAGCTGTGGTATTCTTCCTATAAAAGAAAACGAAGAATTTTTAAAGTCGTAAAAACTTTTTTTTTTTTTTTATTAACCTTCTAATGCCGCATTCGCTTTAAAAAAAAAAAAAGCGTTACGAAGATGGTTCCCATGGTGAAATAATGACATTAAAAAAAAAAAAAAAAAATCTAGACGTGTTAACTTAAGAGTTTGTTAATTTGCCAAGCTATAAAACTTGGCTATAAAATACCCGTGGTGGTTAAAAAAAAAAAAAAATATTAAGCAATACTTATTCCCTCTCTCTCTTTTTTTTTAATACCTAAAAAAAAAAAAAATTAATAATTTTTTAAATTTAATTAAAAATTACATAAAATGTAAATTTAAAACCGATCAAAATCTTTTATATAACTTGTTCACGAAATTAAAAAAAAAAAAAAGAAAAAGGGTTGTTGCGAGGATATTAACACGGTCGATAAGTCATATTTCCTTTATATACGACACCCCGATTATTATTATTATTAACACTATTTTTTTTTTTTTTTTGTTCGAAAACCGTTACGATTTTTTCTCTTTAATTTTTACTCTTATACAAATAATAATTTTAATATGATGAAAGTTTTTTTTTATTGTTATTAAAAAAAAAAAAAAAAAAAAAATAACCTAAAAATCTTTTATCGATGGGATTTTTTTTATCCATAATTTGAATAGGTAAATCACAGGGCCTGATAACATCCTGATATGGCGATATTAATAAATCATCAGGTAAGCAATCGAATATAGTTATAAATTCTTTTTTATTTTCATTTGATAATATTTTTTCGTTTCCGCTTCTTTTCATTATGTATCCCAAATTTGAATCAATTTTTTTTTTCAAATTGTCGTATTCCATACGAATGATTGGTTTATTATTATTATTATTATTATTATCATAATCATCATTACTATCATCATTCGCAGCCGCCGCATTCGCAAGAAGGTGACCAAAGTTTAAAATATAATTTTTTTCTTTTGATTTTTTTTTGTCTGTTATAACATCGTTAGCTCGAATGGCGGAATATTCTTTCGTATCTGAAATGAAATTAAAAAAAAATAATATAAGAGCAAGTTGGCACGTTTCAAAAACACCGTTTCCAACGTTATATACATAAAAAAACATAAATTTTTTATGTTTGTGTGACGTTTTGTTGTTATTGAAAATATGTGTGATCTTTTTAAAAAAAAAAAAAAAAAATTTTTTTTTTTTTTAATATTATTTTGCGAGAATTAGTTTTCATGTACCTTTATTATTTAAGAAAAATTCACCTGGATATTCAAAATTTGTCTCATCTGTGTTCCTCGCTAAATAATAAATATCCATAAGATTTTTATTTATTTTTGGATTTTGAGAATATTCCGCTAGCGAACGGCTCATCAATTGATTCATTAACCTACGCCGTTTAAAAAAAAAAAAAATTTTTTTTTCAATTATTATTTTAACATTCGCATTTTTAAAAATTTCTAAAAAGTTTTTCATAATAATAATAATAATATTGGTACTTTGATGATGGCGTCGTTTCTTTTTGATTTGAAAATTCATCGTGAGAACGTTTACCCTGAGGTAAAGCTCCGGCTCTTGCTAAAACTCCAATTTGTCTTTTTTTTATAGCATGTTTCTCATGTGGTCTGTCCTATAAAAAAAAAAAATTATTAACATATTTTACAATTAACATAATATAAGAAATAAATTAAATAAATTTAACTCATTAAGGTTTTTTTTTTTTTTTTTGTAAAATTAATAATTATAACTAACAAAGATTGATCTATACATATAACCTGAATAAAATTTTTTTTATTATGAAAGGGGTAGTGAAACGAAAGGAATCCATTTTAATTTTTTTTAAATTAAAAAAAAATTATTAAAACTATTTAAAAAATTACTTACTGTTTTACAAAGCGAAAAATCAATTTGTAAAAAAACAACTAAAATGGCTTTAAAAAAAACTTTTTTCAAAATCATGGCACTAAAAAACAAAATAACTGAAGAGTTTTTTTTTTTTTTTTTAAACTGATTTCTATTCAACTTAACGTGTTATTAAATCCTGAATTTCCAAGACCTTCTTTTTATATAAATATATACTTTTATACTATCATTGAAATAACAACCACTAAATATTAATTTGACGTAAATAAATTCTCTAAAGGATATAAATATATATATATTGATTGATTTTTATTTATTTCTCACGCGTTCCCAAAGGTGTCAATTTTACCTTTTCCCCATAGTTAATCACGTGAAAAATCGTAGGACTTTTTTAAAATGAAAAAATTGTTATTAAATTAAAATTTCCCTTTTCTTTGATGTAAAAACATAAAATTTCGTTCAATTAATTTTTTTGAAATTTAAAAAAAAATAAAATAAAAAACTTCAATTCGTCAACTAATATACGCTTACGCTCGACCTAATTATTTTTAAATACTTTTTTTTTTAACAATCAAATGATATCGTATTGCATCCGTAATATATATATTATTATAATCTAATTACTAATTCCATTTATAATTGTCTTCATGTAATTTCGTGAATCAAATTTCCAGTCATTTTTTATTTTAAAAAATTCTTATTTTTACATCATTAAAATTTTTTTTTTTTGTAAGTCATCAAAAATTTTGTTATCGGAAAAATTTTCAAGAGAGTATAATTGAAACTTTATTTTGAGACAAAGAGTGCAAGTGAAAAAAAGAAATTATTTTTATTTATTTCTTTAAAAACATTTTAAATATTTATTTATATTAATATATATATTATTCGTGAAATGGAGTTTTAATTAAATTAAAAGTAAACTTTTTTAAGTTTTTCAAAAGAAATTCTTACCGCAAGTTTCTCAGAATAATCACTGAGAGCGCCATATTACTTTATGATGTGTCGGGGCAGTAGATTTTGTTTTGTTCTAATGTCACTGTAATCTGTTTTCAAGTCACGAGATTTATTACCAAGTTGTAATTGTTTTTAACGTTATAAATTTTTTTATTTAATTTTCTTATATCAACAGATTTACTAGCTGAATTATTTTAACTCATTCAAAATGGCAAATTCAACAGCAGCCATTAAAAGTATTTTGCCTGAACTTCCCAATGAAAAAATAGGTATTTAAAAATGTGTTATATATTTTTCTTGACAATATTGATTGTGCTTGGTTCATTTCATTACTATTTTTTTTTTTTTTAATTACCATTTGTTCCTTTTAGTTTTTCGCTAATATTTACACTTTAACTATTTCAATGTTCAAAAAATTGTAATTAATTTTTAAGTTACAAGTAATGTTAAGATTATTTAAAATTTTACATTTTACACCCATGAAAAATAAAAAAACAAAAATTTATTATGTCATAATAAATTAAATGTTTGATTAAACATCAAACATACAATCAATCAATCACTTCAATTTCTATTCTAATATTTTATTATTATTAATTTAGATATGTTGGCAGCCACCAGTATTTTGCAGCAGCAAGCCTCAGAAATTAGAGCACAAAGAGTAATATGGCAGTCTTATTCTCAGTAAGTTAAAATTCATATTTTACTTTTAAATGATTCACGTAATTGTACTACTTATCTTTATTTTTGGGTTTTTAATTTTTTTTCTCGTTTTATTGTTAAAACATCATTTATTCAAATGTGACCTCAGGCAGTTTAAATATGATACGAAAACATGTCTATAATCATTTTTGTTGTTTAAAACATTTAAAATTTTTTTCGCATAGATCTCAAATGATTTCCCAAGAAGATTACAATTTTATTGTCGCATTTGACAATGCTGATGGTCCCGGTAGAAAGAAAATATTGGAAGAAAACAGGAGTCAGTGTGCTAAGACATTTTTGAATCTTTTAGGCCACATTTCAAAAGATCAAACGATTCAGTATATTTTGATCATGATAGATGATATGCTTCAAGTGAATATAGATTTTTTTAAATTTTCAATAAGTAACAATCACTTATCTTCTTTATTTAAATAAAAAAAAAAATTATTTTATATTATCAGGAAGACAGAAGTAGAGTTGAAATATTTTCCGAGTATTCAGCAAAAAAAAAAGAAGGGTTTCTCGGACCCTTTTTAAATCTTTTAAATCGTCCAGATGGGTTCATACAAAATATGACATCAAGAATAATAGCAAAAATGGCATGCTGGAGTTCCGATTTAATGGACAAATCTGACCTCCATTTTTATCTGGCCTGGTTAAATGATCAGTTAAAATTAAATGTAAGAATTTGATTAGCAAATTTAATTCTGTCATTTAAAATATAAATGTAACTTTATTGCTATTACATCTTGATATATTTTTATTTCTAAATATCATTGCCTTTTTAGTGAAGCATTTTTAATTATTTTTATTCGTTTTTATTTTCAGAACAATGAATACATGCAATCCGTTGCACGATGTTTGCAAATGATGCTTCGTATAGACGAGTATCGTTTTGCTTTTGTGTCAGTGGATGGAATATCAACGATTTTAAATGTATTATCTGGAAGAGTTAATTTTCAGGTTCAATATCAGCTCATTTTTTGCCTTTGGGTACTTACTTATAATCCATTGCTTGCAGAAAAAATGAATAAGTAAGGTTTTTTTTTTTTAAATAATATTTTACATAATAGTTTGTATTGTAAAAAACTCAAAATGTGAAAGATAAAGTTATTGATCGTAGTATGGCAATCATAAATAATAATTATCAACTCTTGAAATTATCAGGCAAACAAGCATTTTAATCAAGTTTTTTTTTTTATCCCAGATTTATTCAAAAACTTCAAATTATTTAAATTGCTTAAAACTTGTTTTAACAATCAATATTATGTCAAGGAATTTATTTGTTTTGATTTGATTTGTGTATTTACATTAAGCAAATAATAATAATAGTAATACTAACAATTATTTCAAAGTAGTTGTGTATACTTTTATTGATGTAATTGATTTTATGGATTGAGATATTTATAATATGTGATGATAAAATCATTATTATGGAAACTAATTATAATTTTTAATGTGTGTGTCAATATTTAAATGCTGGACATTAAATTTTTTTTGTTTAAGATTTAATGTGATTCCAATTCTCACCGATATTTTGAGTGACTCTGTGAAAGAAAAGGTTAGCAGAATAATTTTGGCAGTTTTTCGAAATCTCATTGAGAAACCTGAAGACAGTGATATTTCCAAAGAGCATTGTATTGCCATGGTTCAGTGTAAAGTTCTCAAGCAATTAAGTATTTTGGAACAAAGAAAGTTTGATGATGAAGATATTTGTTCAGATGTTGTTTACCTCAACGAAAAACTTCAAGCATCCGTGCAAGATTTAAGGTTAGGATAATTTTCCTTTAAATATATGTATGTGTGTGTATGTATTTTGTATTAGAACTGCAAAAAAAACATTTGTTACAAAAAAGGAATTAAATGACGAAAAAAATTTTATTTGATTTTCAATTTGTGTAGCTCTTTTGATGAATATGCCAGCGAAGTGAAATCAGGAAGGTTGGAGTGGAGTCCAGTTCATAAATCGGCTAAATTCTGGAGGGAAAATGCTGGACGGCTAAACGAAAAAAACTATGAGCTTTTAGCCATTTTAATTGATTTATTACAACAATCTAAGGATCCTCTTGTTTTGAGCGTAGCCAGCTTTGATATAGGAGAATATGTGAGACATTATCCACGAGGAAAGAAGTAAGTTTTTTTTTTTTTTTTTTGGAAGTATTTTAAATGAAATTTTTTTTTTTTTTTAATCACTTCGAATTGTGATTATATAAAATAATGAATTACAATTATTACAGCGTTATCGAACAGCTTGGAGGAAAACAATTAGTGATGCAACTCCTTGGACATGATGATCCAAATGTTCGCTATGAAGCTCTGATAGCTGTTCAAAAACTCATGGTTCACAATTGGTGAGTATTTATAAATCATCATTCATCATAATCATAATCGTCATCATCATCATAGTAGTCATCATAATCATTATCGGTTGATTGTTGATTATATTTTGTTTTATGTTGGCCCAAAAATAAATTAATAAATAATTGACTGATTTCACAGGAGTAGTGAAGAAATACGCGGACGATTGGAGCAAAACACCGGAAGACATAATAAAATAACCTGAAAAGCCAAAATTTTTACCAACGAGTGTGAATAAAACGTATACCAGTTTTTGAGACAATAATAATACCCTACCTTACAGTAAATAGACTTAACATTTGTCCTTTAAAAAAAAAAAAAAAAAAAAAAAAAATATACGTAAATCTGGTAACTCTTACTTGGGCTTAAATTTTATAACGTTTGGTTTTTTGTATTTTTTATAATAAGTTACCGTTCTCCCCCCTACCACTTCCCTCATCCCCCGAATTCTCACTAACTTTTGTAAGATTTTTCTTTTTTTTGTTTTATATAAAAAAAAAAAAAAAAAGAAGCACTTGTAATAAATTTATTTTTTTTTTTGTATTTCAGGGAATATTTGGGACGTCAATTAGAAAAGGAACAAACTCAGTCTTCATCCATTTCAACTGGAATTCCAGCTGCCAAAGCGTAAAATATAAATATATATATGTTTTTTTTTTTTTTTTTGTAAATTTTAGTTAAAATCAAAAGCTAGATAGATGATGATTAGGTATTTAAATATTATTATTGTTATTATTTATTTTTTAAATTTACATTATCGTATTAATTAGATATATATATATATATATATTGGAATGGGATTTATTAAATAAGAAAAAGTTTTTTAATTAATCTATATTTTAACTCGTGCGGTGCATTTTTTCAAGGGTTATTTTATTTATTTATTTTTTAAACGTCATCACTTTCATATGTTTTAATTTTTTTAAATATATATATATATATCTATATATGTTAATTTTTAAAAGATTTAAAAGAAAAACGTTATATATGAATTTTACTATATGTTATATAATATTATTTGTTTCGCCCAAAAATGTATTTTAAAAATAATTTAGTTTGTATTATAATTTATATATATATATATATATATATATATATATATATATACTTTTGTCAAATATTGTTGATTGATTATAAACAATCGGTATTGATATAAATCGTTGAAAATAATTTTCGAAATTTTAATGGGAAAAATCCGCGAATTTTATTTTTTTTTAAAAGTATTTTCTTAAAAACATATTTTACTTTTAAATTTTTTTAGTCATTTTATTATTATTATAATATATATATACATATTTTGTTATTTCTTAAAGCTTATTTATATATTATTGTATGTATTGTAAATTAAATTGAAAAATATTAAATTTTAAAAAAAAAATATTGTATTTTAAATTTTAACGTGATACGCATAATTTAAGAAGTTTTTTTTTTTTTTTTTTAAATAATATTTATTTAAGATTTACATTTCGGGGAGGACCGTTTAAACAAAAAAAATAATTTTTTTATCATCTTCAGATTTGAATTAAAATGGTTTATTACCCCGCTGTGAAATTCGAGAGTAAAAAAAAGGTAAAAAAACTATAAAATTTATTTATTTTACAGGTTAATTTTAGTGATACTAATAATAATAATAATAATAACAATAAAATCCTAATTTGAAAAAAAAAATTTTTGTTGTTATTTATCGTTGTTGGGTCATATAAATTAATTATAGACGACATTGTAGAAAAAAATAAATTTTATTTTTCAACTTTTGTTATTTATACATTTGGCGCTTTCACTAAATATAATTAATTAATTAATTTTTATTATTGTTATTTTCTAGCGGAATAATGGTCTCAGAGTTTTATTCAATAAAAAATCGACAAAAGTATCGATCGGAGTAACGATGAAAGGTATGCATCCTAAACCGACGGCCGTTGTCGTCCACTTTCTTGTAGCAGAAGAAAATTTTGTTAATTTGGATAGAGAAAAAAAAGTCGCAGCGCAGATTCTATTTATTGTCAGACCTTAAAGGCAAAAAGAGGAAAAAGGTAAGTGAAAAAAACGATTAATTTATAAAAAAATGTAAGCAAACCTGGAATAATGACGGATGCCAATCCTTGCCAGGTAATGGTATCCACCGTCGTCATAACAACTTTATACTTGTTGTATTCTTTATTTCCTTTTTCTATATTATGAGCTTTAATTGTTTTATCAGCGGTGTCTGCCAATACGTATAAACTGGCAACCCCATAGGAAGCTCTTACCCAATAAACGTGAATTAACGAACGGAATGATTCTCCTACTTCGTTTGCATACCCTGACATACAAAAATATTATTATATTTAATAATAATCCTTCGACCATTTACATGTTTGAATTAAAAATAAGAAGAAATTAAAAAGGCAAAATGGTTAAACTTTCTCTCTCAGAGAGATAGAGATAGAGTTTGTGTGTGTGTGCATGCGTGTGCGTGGGTTTAATGTGATACACAGTCAAACGGGGGGGGGAAAAAAAATTACACTAAATATTTTTAAAAATATACATTTGGTATATTTATTAACGTTTTTTCGTTTTTTTTTATATAAATAAAAAAATTAATTAATAACTAAATTAATTAACCTACTTCGATGTTATTCAAATTATTTAAATCTACTGAACTAAATTTAAATACTTCTAAACCTTCCGATGATATTTTTTCCCTTAATTCCCGTGATTTTTTCATTTTATCATATTTTTTATTCGAATATTTTTTCCTTTTTGCCTTAGTGACGTCATCATCTGTTATCATTTTCTTATCTCCTTCTTCAAAATCACCATCATCATCATCATCATCACCATCCTGGGAATTATAATCAATGTTACTCGACGTTCTTTTTCTAGCCGTCGCATTTTTTTCTATTTTAACATTTAATAAATTAGATATATTTGCCAATTGAGATTTTGTTTTCTTATTTTGTCCGATTGAATTTATTTTATTTAAAGAAATAATTAATTTTTCCCAAGGTGGTAAAACTTTATTATTTGATTTCAAATCCGTCGTCCGATGCTTTTTTGAATAATTTATTATAACATTTATTAATATCATTAAATGAGAAAAAAAATTAACGTATATTTTTTCCGTATGTTTTTGTTCGTGATCTTGTGTTTCCGATAAATATTTATCAAAATTATTTATAAAATCCGTTTCTATCGAAATTAAATCCATTTTGATATTTTCATCATCCGTACGATGAAGTTTTTCGTTTTTGTAAAATATTTGTAAAAGATTTAATATTTTTATTTTTTTCAATACTCTTATTGTTGGCATTGCTAGAAAATCGTAAAGACTTTTTACCAATTTAAAATTACCTTTCCAAGACATTTTAATAACGGCTTGAAACATTGTTATGGGTAATTTAAAATCTCTTGATAGAAAAAAACTTTCCAATAAAGATTTAAATTTATTTACTAATGGTTCGTAGGGTTCGTTTTCGTTTAAAATTTGAGAACACCGAATTAAAAATGCGACGGAATCCGTTACTCTTGGAGCCATTTCAACAAAAACTAAAGATGATATTTCTCTTTTATCTAAAATTAAATTAAATATTTCATAGATGTCAGATTGTGTCACGTGTTCCTTATCAATAAAACTTCTCTTGGATGATGACACGCTATTCAATATTGAATCCACTCGGTTTTTCAATGGAGTTTGATATTTATTTTTAATTGAATATTCTAATAGATTAAATAGTGGATGTATCAAATCCAAACATCCTCTCATTGTTTGATTGGTTGAAATGTACATTTCAACCAAATCTAAAACTCTAAGTCTAAAATGCATTAGTGCCTCTTCTTCTTTTGTTTGTTTTTTTTTCTTTTCTTGAGATCCGGCTTTCCAAAGTTTGAACGCGGCAGATAATTTTTCATTGAGTTGAGCTTCTTCTTCTTCGTTCATATCATCCATGTCGATGGATTCGTCATCCGTTCCAGCCGCGGAATAACCCAATGCTTCTCTGACGGCACAACGAAGTTGATCGTTTGGTTTGTCTTCGTCATCATTTTCTTCTTCTTTTTCGAAATTTTCGTCCGAGTAAGATATATCCGATTCTGATTCATCGCTAGAACTTTCTGCTTCGGAATCGTCTGAAACGGCACTTTCCAAAACGGATTCTTGAAAATTTGGATTTAAAACATCTATTATTTGATTCAGGGCCGTTGAAGTCGCGTGTACAACGACTTGAGGAAATACGTAAGATATTACACGTCGCCATAATTTATTTTCTCTAGAAAGGAGAGAAAGTATGAGGTCCACTGTAACTTCCGTCCAATGAAGATCCACGACTTTTTCCGAATCATGACCGTTCTCGTGAATTGCGTCTTTTGCTTTTTTCTTGTGCACGCTTTTAAGATTTGAATAACAAGACAATAATTCGTCAATGCCACTTATGGCCAACTTGGAATCGGAAAAAAGTTGAAAACCCATATAAATCAATAATATATGAACGGCAATGTACGATTTGTTTTTAGATTTATTTTTTAATTTTTGAACGACTGAATATTGTTTCTGCCACCAATGTAAAACTTCTTCTGAAACATCTAAATTTTTATTCTCAATTTGCTTATTTACATATTCGACAAGTTCATCCAAAAGGAAAACTAAATCTTTTAAAGATTGAGTTTGCAACATAATGGCTTTATAGAAAATTTCACTGGCATACTTCTTTAATTCTATAATGTTTTCATTTTTAATTAAAAATCCAATTTCGAAAATGAATTTTATTTGCTGCAATTTGAGATTTGTGTCATTTTTAATAGAAGAATGATTGATTGTTTTGACAATATTATTCAGGGCTATTTGTTTTTCTTTGATGCTCCAATTCTCCGTATTGCCTGCATCATTTATAGTTTTTTTCAAATCATCACGAATAATACTTTCGTAAATATCAAATAACTCTTTAATTTGATTTGAATTTAATTGCAATATGATACTTCTTACAATTTTTAACCCAGTCTTGGCTTCAAATTTTAAATTAGAAGGATAAAATATTAAACTTTTGATGACATTTAATTTTGTTTCGCTTGATTCATTATTTTTCAATACATCTACAACTAACGATAAAGAATCTTTTGCCATTGCATAACAATCATCTCTGTAAGATACTGATTTCCTGTAAGACAAGACTTTTATAAGGACTCCAACAAATTTGGGAGCTAATAAGTCAGGTATAACTTTAACATCTTTTAAATGTTTAATAATGTTCCAAAATAAAATTATTAACACATTGTCTTTTAATACATATGATTTTCCATGGTTTTCAATTATGTTAATCCATATTTTCTTTAATGATTCATCATTGCTGCATAATATTGCTCCCATGCAATTGAATATTGAATGAGTGCTTCTAACTGATTTGGTAAATATATTTTTAATCAAGTTTTCTAATAATGTATCAAATGTTCCAAATTTTTTTTTGATAAATTTTTTTAGGACTGCTGAATTTTTGTTCCAACAAATCACAAGAAGATAATAGCAATCGATACTCCATTCGTTTAAATCAAGTTCGTTAAAGAGTTGAGTTTCGCAAATCTCCCAAACGTGTTCCTTAAATTGTTGTTCATCTACTGAATTTACGTAGTCGACAATGAAGCAGCAAGCAAGCGGAAAAAAATAACTTTTCTTTTTCCCCAAGTGAAATAATTTTTCCAGAATGGATTGCTGAACAGGTACACTTTGTTGTGTAAATAATCCTGAATGTATGACGGCTCCACAAGTCAGCAAGTGGCCCGTGTCGAGAGCTCTAGTTTCCGATTTTGAAACGCCTCGAATGAGCTGATGTTCTTTTTCGAGAGCAGATAACACATCTTCTATTGAGCATCCACCATACCTTAATATACTAGTCAAAGCAGCAAAACAGCCACACTGAGAATGCAAACGGGACGAACATAATCCTCGCAAAATGCGCTTGATTGAATACAGATAATTTGTCGCTGAACCGACTTTAAATTCTTTTCCATGCAGATTTTGAATTAACTCTATACAATAT